TTCAGGGTACAACAATATCTCACCAGTCAAAAAACATCATTTCCGGGTGACAACAATATCTCGCCAGTATCAAACATCACTTCAGGGTACAACAATATCTCACCAGTCAAAAAACATCATTTCCCGGTTACAACAATATCTCCCCAGTCAAAAAACATCATTTCCCGGTTACAACAGTACAAGTACTTCTACATTACTTCACTTTGATATCTTTGACAAAAAATGAATGGTATTTTTTCACTTGCACTCAATTTTCATCTAATAGTTACTTGGGTAAGAGTAACCCCATTCTTTTCCCACAGAGCTTACTTGTCATATCTTCCTTTTGACAAAATGATTTGATTACTTGACATTTTAGAAAAGGTTAATAGAATGACTTTACGAAAACCGAAAATACTGTTTTTTTTGTGGTTTGCATTACGGTGTAATAGGCGTGGTTCTCAGTAGACTACCATCGCCCAGTGACAGCTGAGTTAAGTTAAGTAGTGTGTAGGAACATGATGTTTAATCAACATTGTTTGGACTTTGCGTTGTGTACTTTTCTTTTATAGGTGTGCTTTCGGGTTGATCTGTTCTCTACTCAAAACTCAGTGACCAGTTCGTGAATGGGGCATAAAGCCTATTGGGAAATAACAGACACAAAATAACACTGATAATAATTTATTACAACAGACAAACAAAAACTTAACAGTCTGTAAACTACACTTTTCTCTCACTCACATAAAGTCAGCTCTCATTAATCCGACACTCAATAATCCGACAATCACGTTAATCCGACAAAAGATTAGGGAACCATTTAAAACTCTGATAATGACTCTCGTTAATCCGACATTCTCGCATTCCGACTCCGACATACCAATCTAGCAAGTGACCATTGTAAATACATTGTAAAAAACATCCGTTTATCCGACAATCAACACAGCCGGTCGGATAATTCGACCGTAAACAAACATCACACATGAAAGGTGATTAGCGCGTGCCTTACTGGCTGCTTGATACCCACGTCTGTGAACATCACACTTGTTAATTAGAAACACAAGATAATTAATTGAGACGATTTAATCAAGAAATAACAATAGAGCGAGCTGTATAAAATGTTTACAACCGACCTGAGCATTCATCACGACAAGATGTCTGTCACGTGTACACCACCTGCTAAGCGAGCCCGAGTAGAAGTTACGCCATTGATCAAGAAAGAAATCTGCCTTTTTAAGAAGGACAAACCCCAGACAACACAACAAGTCATCACTTTTGCTGCGCAGAAGTTTGATGTGAAGATTGGATGATCAACCGTATCTGACATCCTGAAGCAGTCTGCTAAGTGGTTGAGCGTCTTTACGACTGATTCGAATGCTTCAAGAGCTAGAAAACCCCAGCAGGAGGATCTTGAAAAGGCCTTGTTTTTATGGTTTACCGTTGTTAGAAGTAGGTCCATTCATGTGAATGATGAACTGTTAAGAGAGCAGGCTAAGATTCTAGGTGAGAAATTAGGGATTACTGACTTTGCCTACAGTAGTGGATGGGTGACCAGATTTAAGCAGCGACATGGAATTAAGACGCACGAAATTCACGGTGAATCAGCCTCAGCCCCTCAGATCGCTGTAAAGACTTGCAGCCAATCCTGCCTGAATACAATCCGTGTGACGTCTACAACTGTGATGAAACTGGCTTATTTTACAAAATTGAACCCAATACCACACTGAGCACTTGTCCTGTGTCTGGCAAGAAACAAGCAAAAGATCGTCTTACTGTTATGCTTGTGGTGAACGCATCAGGCACTGACAAACCTAAACCACTGGTAATATGGAAATTTAACAGGCCAAGATGTTTTGGTAGAACTTTTGATCCTAATTCTGTGTGTCACTGGTATGCAAACAAGAAGGCTTGGATGACAGCACTGATCTTCAAAGACTGGCTTGTGAAGTTTGATAGGCACATGCGCACACAGCGACGACATGTGATATTGCTGATTGACAACGCCCCTTCCCATGCCTCCGTAGATCTCACCAACGTAAAGCTTCATTATCTGCCTCCCAATTCAGCCCCTAGATGCAGGAATAATAAAGAACTTCAAACTTCTGTACAAGAAGCAACAGATGAAACGTCATCTTGACAACGCCAGCGCAGACACGCCAGTACCACTTGATATCAAGCAAGCCCTACTGTTTATCCGATCAGCGTGGCGAGATGTGAAGCAGCTGACAATCATCAACTGCTGGCGTCATACAAAAATCCTGCCACCTACTGACAGCCAGATCGAGACCGATAATGAACCGACTGAAGACGTCCGAGATTTACAGGAAACTCTTGACAAGCTCTATCCAGATGCACCCGTACCTGTCAGCGAATTCATAGAATATGACGAAAATCTGCCATGTGAGGAAGCCATTACTGAAGATGAAATAATCGAGATTGTCCGACCTACTGCCGAAGAAGAAATCAACACTGAAGAAGACCAGACAACCGAGCCAGTCGTTCCCAAGCTATCTGAGGCCAAAACATCTTTGAATATTTTGCAGATATTTGTGACACACCACTTAGACGTGTTTGATGTGAATGACCTCGACTTCATTGACACTTTGAAAACTAAATTGCTGAAGACCTCAGAAAAAAATGAAAAAAAACAAATCATCAAAGACTATTTCAAGTTTTAAATTATTGTTCACCAGACATCCATATGTTAGTGTGGAACTAGTTGTATGTAAACAGTGACTCATTCAACATCCGGGTCATAATGGCTGCTGAGAGTGAAATAGCGACGACCGGTAAAAAACAAACGTGAGTTTTGTGCCGATGTGATTTTGAAATCGATACGAAACTGATTGATTATGTGATTTTATATGTATGTTATGCCATCTATGAATGTTAATAAATGATATCAAGGATGTATTGTTATATTTTTTATTACTGTGAATGTTTTTACATACGAAGACGATAACCAGATCTACAATTTCTGATATGCTTGCAACAGTATGGCGATCATGACATTTAGTAAACATCGATATTTTCACACAAATACATTAATCCGACATTCTCGGTAATCCGACATATTTCTCTGCAACCACAAGTGTCGGATTAACGAGAGCTGACTGTAATTAAGTTTAAGAAATCCAGCTTCGTTAGGAAAAACACCAAACCCCTATAACCCCTTCAAAATAGAACCCCCCGAAACCAACCCCGTCTAACTGGGGGCCGTTGTACAAAGCAACCTTAGCACTTCGCCAGTCGTAAGTCTATGTTAAGGTATGGGAGTTACGATCACCTTAGCGCAAAGATCGCTTTGTACAACGGCACCCTGGACATTACCCAAAGTCTAAAGCTTAATACCTATTCCGTTTCCTACTCCTAATTCTCCCCCAACCCGACCTAACACTAGTTTAGCAGGAACCTAACTTCCCCATACATAAAACCTAACATTCCACTCTGTAAACGGGGAGGGAATGATCCTGAAACAGGACCTCGGGACAGAGATATTACCTGATGCTCGGATGGCCGAAAGCTAGACACTGAATCCAGAGAGCCAGGTCACTTATATAGCGTTCTAGAACGACCTCTGACATGGGTCAAAGTTCACCTACTGATGACGGACGTCTCCACCAATCAGAGCCTATCGAACATATTTAGCACTACCCAATGTATCTAGCGCTACGATGAATGGTAACCCCGGACAAGAAGATGTCCCGTAGTAGAGCAGGTGAAACAATGTGCTACAAGACTATCTGGTACACAGTTATTCTATATGTGCTACGTATAGTTTGAATATCCCGTTAAGAAGCCCCTGCCCCCATGCTTACGCTATAATTTAACCCAGTTTTCGTACAACGGTATACCGAACCGAAAGCAAAATACCGCGGTTCTACTAATATTGCGGTATACTATTTCACCTCTAATTATTTTGAAGGTTTAGGGTTAGTGTTAGTTCTTTTTATAAAACCATCTTACGGGCGTTACGGGCGGACATCTTTCCGTTGCTTGAGTTGTACACTGGGTAAACAGATACACATGTGATGTCTCGAAGCAGAGGCCGTATACCGATAGCCTATATACGGTCTCTGCTCGGAGAGATTATCTTCATAAATGATAACTATGGAAAACGTATCGTCAAACTGGGTTACAAGTTAAGATCACATCCTTTCTGATAATATTACAGTTTCTACCGACGTTTATAACTGCACAGGATCCAAGAGATAATCTGACAACACGTCGATCACTGATGCCCGCCGTTGATGCAATGTTGGAATGGATCACTCGTCTCCACTATTGTCAGCATCAACATCTAACCACCGCGATAATCATGTACGGGCAGTAAATGAACATATGCACACGGTTTCGTAAAGTGCACAACATACACTTCGAAATGAAAACATACACATCAGAAGTCTCACCTCACACACTTACACACGTGGTTCCTGTATTTTCCACCAGAACTAGTTTCCTCTTTGTCGTGCGGCTCGTGTAATGCTCCATAAGCTCTGTGTCAACGCGTGTGTGGAAACTGACGAAATTTTAGACGTTATCATGTCGCCCAACATCCCCGCTTTATATTTGTTATCTGGCGCAGTCAACTCGTGCTGGACTGGAAAACCCTATATGGTCTCTGAACCCCACCTTATACGTCATACCAAATTGCTTACATCGTTATTTTTCTTTTCATGAAAACAAAATGCATTATTTCAGTCCGAGACCATGATATGGTCTCTGTTTCAGTAAGTATTTCATGATACCTTAGATTTATGGTGTTTTGAACTGAAATACTGGTATCTATGGTGGCTGATTCGGGCTATCGCTATATATCGCCCTGACGCAGGGATATTTCGGGGGTTACAACCGACAAAAAGCTTGACTCAAAAACATACGAGACACTCACACGCAAGGCCATGATGATGTGCGTTAGAGACCTCCGACCATTGAACCTTGTTAAAGGTAATGGCTTTAGTGATTTTTGTCACTCACTGAATCCCAGTTATATAGTACCATGTCCAAAGACCCTCCATGATTACCTTATGAAGTAATATGCCGACACCAAAACTCAGCTTGAAGATATTCTAAAGCAGTCCCCTGGCGTATCTTTGACAACAGATATGTGGACAAGCTGTGCCACCCACGGTTACATCACCGTCACAGGGCATTACATCACAGACGCGTGGATCGTCCATGATGCACTTTGTTATATACAATGCGTAATCCTTTCAAACAAAATCACATTTGATATTGGTAAACGAAATGTGCTTTAATAAATGTTCTGATTTTGACAATGGCTTGTTTTTCTGAAGTTTGTTCTCTGCATTGTGGGTTGAACCTGGTTTCTGCTATGGGCTGTTTGCGCCAGTGCTCAGTTGAGTAATGTGGCCCTGCATAGACCGATGCTAGTCAAATCATGAGTTTAGGTTTGTCGTTTCGTCAAATTGATAACCACATGTTTTAAGGAAAGATTTCGTGTAAGTTTTCAATCTAATACAGACGTTATAACTTAGAAGTGCGGCATTCTTGTGTGAAATTCCATTGAAAACTACTTAAAACACACGCACAATTAAAAATCACTAAAATTTATAGGCTACTATAATTTTCGGGTAGCCTACTCGACTATCGGGATCATAGGGAAGATACATTTGATAAAATGAAGTAAAGCATGCATAATAACCACTCTGTACTTTAACAAATTCAAGTGAAACTTGTCAGTATGTTCCCTTATAACAACCACATCTATGCTGATCTTACCTCCATGTGCCGTGGGTCAACCCGAAACTGCAAATCATTGCTCAGTGCGGCGTAAAACTGAACTCACTCATTTAGTACTACTCGGTGAACTATTGATACATCACATTGAAAAATATATACCATAAATTACTTTGTTATGTTAATGTAATCATGGACACATATATTTTGGGTCCACAATGTAATCCACAATATCACTGACATTGACTGTAAAGGGGATTCAATGCAAATAGTTTCTGAATACAAATATCTTGGAGTTCTTTTTAATTATATCAGCCAAATCTTACAACATGCTGCATAATTCAGATAATCTTGGTTATTTAACATGGGCATCAAATACAAGATATCTGTTATTTTCGTATGGATTTGGATATGTGTACCTTTTCCAAGGTGTTGGAAACGAGTGGGTGTTTATGAACGAATTTCGTCAAAGAGCCGTTGATATGTTTTGTCAGAATTGGATGAATACCCTTAGCTTTAATTCTCGAGTTGATGTATATAGATCCTTTAAAACAATGATAGAACATTGCCCGGATGGCGGATTGAAGACGATTATCATCTGTTATTTATATGTGATGATTTTGCTGATTTAAGAAATAATATATTCCACAAATAATATTTGGGTCACCCTACAAGTTAAACACTTATAAGAATTTTATCATCAGAAGACGAATCTGTAAAATTAGCCCTGTAAAAAAGAGTCTCATTTCTCCTGTCAACTAATTTCACAATTAGATGCTTGATTGGCATTTTAGAAGATGCTGTTTGGTGAACATAGAGATTTTTCTGCCCCAGAACAAGCCCTAAAACCAGAGACCATATAATAGATATTATATGGTCTCTGCTGAAACGTTGTACTCAAGAATAAAAAGAAGATGTAACCCAGGTGAAAAATCTCTATGTTAATTTCACAGTGTTATGACGCTTTTCATTATTTGCACTGCCCATACTTTGCTTGTCATTATAACACTATGTATACTATGTTTATTGTAAATTATGTACAATAAACCATCTTGATCTTGATCTGATTCAAAGGGGATGTATGGATGTCAACTTCTGTTAAATGAGGGGCATGACATTTCGGAGAAAACACCTTCTTCAAGTGAAATACCGCTGTTAGGAGTTTGGCGTCATATTTACGCTTGGCTCCGTCTATTCTTGTCGCCATATAATATTAAGCTGGTTCCTGGTTCCCAGTGCGCGGTATGACTTGCGCCAAAGCTAGGAGCTGATACAGACCGCATTTGTAAACATTCAGCTCGATATGTGTTCGGGACCCAGCTACATGACGACATATGATACTAAGAAAGAAAAAGAAACCAGTTAAACGCGTCAAGGAACACACGGAGCCCAGTTTTTGAAGAGTACCGGAAGAGGAAGCTTGACGTTTACGACTTATCACAACTCTTGGCCTGACAAGAACATAAAGATGACAGACATCTCCATATGCACTTTTCGATTGTAATTTACTTGCTCGTGAGTTTTTTTCCCCGTTACTTGATGTCTGTCATCATACACAAGCAATGCCGTTTACTGTTGAATGTTAGCCCTGTCAATATTTTTGGTGGAAACAGCAACATCCGGTTTGTTACCCAAAATGTTTGCGGTTTTTGCTTTTGCGCATGAACAACTCAAGACTGTATGATGTAGCCGTGCCATTTGGCGGAACCGTGTATGCAGTATTAGATTGATATTTGTAAGACCATAGTTACGTGTAAACCTTTTATCCCTCTTGGTGACTTGGTGCCACTGTCAGTCAGCCTGTTTTAATTGTACATCTAATGTTCCATAGATGATATATAGGGCCATATAACTATTCAGTATACAGATATTCTTCGCAAACATCTAGTTAATACTGGTATAGACTATGTAACCCTGATAGCAATGTTCGTTGGGCCAACATTGGCCAACGTAGGCCCAATGATGGCCAATGTTGGTCCAACGTAGGCCCAATGATGGCCAATGTTGGTCCAACATTGGCCCAACGGACATTGCTATCTGGGAAGTAACATGGTTATCAGCATGTCCCGTTCTGTCACGTCCATGCCTCCTGCCCTTTGCAGTGAACAATATTGATGGAATGTTGCTGAAAACCTAAGTGATGTTATGACTGATCTTTTCCTACAGTAGGATTGTTTCAAAGATTACAATAACCATTTCAAATAATGTATCTCTTATCTCTGACAGTATCCTCTAACACTTTGGGATTGGACTGTGACTGGGAATATGCCTTTTAAACACACAGGCAGCAGACGGCATCGCTTGGTTAACTCGCTCTCGCAGAGAAGCCTGAGATAGAACACAATACTGAGTAACCAATCCGTGATCATCTGGAATATGCATTCTTGTGACAAAGGATTCGCTTAGTTTTTCAGCCGAGGTGTTCATGTATTTATATTCTAACTGTTTGTCAATAAGGCTTATACACTGTCCATAAAATATTGGGATTAATACTAGGGCTGTAGTGAATACACTATGTGGCGAATATGATACGCATCATGAATATTAGGTAACGAATACGAATAATTATTCACGAATACAATATTGTAGTTAGTGATTGATGCACAATATGGACGCCCATGTTGACAGTTTTGATTTGTCACAGCAATAACCAGTGATCTCATGACACTCAAATTTGGTATTTAATAGTTATAGTCGACAGTACCACGTGCAGTCTTGGCAAACTAACATGACTTGCGCTACTGCAATGCTAGTACATATTCAATCCTTGCATATCTCACTTTCCAAAAGTACACAAGGGTTCAAGTAAAACATGCCCCCTTAAAAAAATCGTTAATATTCAGTTCTGGTGACCACGAATAACGAATTGAATTCATGAAGGGCTACGGTTCGATTCACCGAATATGCGAGTGAATCGTTACAGCCTTAATTAATACTCACTGTCACTGGTCAGTCCTCAGACTCAGAATGAGATATTATTTTAAATTCTGAAATACTGTCCCAAAGACTTGATGATACTAAAGCATAGTCTGTAACACTGCATCCTATGTGCCTGCCAAACGTGAGGAAAATTTTGGTTTTTCAAATTGAGTAGTGAAGTCAAGGAAGTGATGGTGCCCATCAAAATTACACATATTATCTATGACATAATCATTGTCTCTGCCAGTTTTACAACAGTTGTTGAAACAACAGCAAAGCAAACACTGCTCATGAATGTGATGCCTGCATTTCTGCATTTGAAATAATGTATTTTATAGGAAGATGATGTTGTTTTTTTTAATTTAGTAAAATGGACAGAATTTTGTATTTTGTTTGGTGGAAGCCTCTTTTTCTTAATAACTGAGTATATGCATGAGGAAAATGAAAGGATCAGATATTACTGGTTTCTGTCTCATGTTTACAGAGTGACAGCATGAGAATTGAAAAGACCTGAGGATGGGCACAGACCCACACGAACTCCTCAACAAACTCTACTCAGACCCTTACTCTCTGGTGTGGTCGGTCCCACGGGAAGTACATGTACTTCGTGGCAAGACTGGGAAACTAGGACTTCGTTTCAAGACAGTTCAGGTAGAACATGATTCCAAATAATTGTGTTTGAAATTACTGTTTGTTCTCAAGCCGAACAAAACATAAAGGCCTGATATAGACAAGGGATTCTCAGAAACAACCATGAGGTACCATACTGTATATTACCGTCTATAAGCCGCCCCCCAAACTTGACCCTTAAAATCAGTGTCAAAATGGTAATGTTTCGTACATAAGCCGATCCCCCGCGATGGGATCCTTATCCTGGCAAACACAGAGCATAGACTGGCAGTTACCAATAATTATAACTGTGGTCCACATTATTCAAAGAATTCACAATCATATTGCGTCTACTCACGCATCAAAATGAAGTGTAGTTGACAGAAAATGGATAATATATTTTGTTTCGCTAAATATCATGCTTATTGTAGTTGGACGATCACATGTCAACAAACTGGCTTGCTTATTTTACCCCATTCAACAATCACGAGCTGATTACCGACTCGTTTTCCATGGACTTCTAGTTTACAGTATTATGGGTAAAAATGTGTGAATTTAAATGGCTTGCTTATTTTACCCCATTCCATGTGCGTAAAACTTCCGCTTACCACGTTCATGAGGGTCCGTATAACCTTAGTGTTGATTGTATATATTTTACATTTATAGAGCAAAAACTAATCAAAATTACGCAATGCTAGGATATATTTCTTTGGGTTAAATAATAGTACTCTGTATTGTATTTTACTGATGACTGCGTCAGAATTCATCCCGTTATATTATTGACAAATATTGTGCATGTTTGAACTTGATCGCCGGGAAACGTGTGCACAGCTGGTTGCTATTTCCGGCTCAAATACACCCGGTAATCTTAATCTTAATTAATTTATAGAGCAAAAACTGTAATTAAAATTACACAATGCTAGGATATATTTCTTTGGGTTAAATAATAGTATTCTGTATTATATTTTACTGATGACTGCGTCAGAATTCATCCCGTTATATTATTGACAAATATTGTGCATGTTTGAACTTGATCGCCGGGAAACGTGTGCACAGCTGATTTCTGGCTCAAATACACACGGTTATCTTAATCCCTGCAAATAATACAATGCCCAGCAAAAACAACTTAGAACTTAAAAGGTAAATAATCCAGTGATGTTTAATTGAAAATTTGACGTCTTTACTGACAAAGCTGTCTTCTGTTGTTTGTTCACGCGAAATGATACAATGTTGTTTTCTTACCCCTGGAAAAAAGTTTGACGAAAGCATAACTCATAGATAAGCCAACCCCCTTCTACCGACTGCTTTTTTTTATCCTCAAAATTTGGCTTATAGACGGTAATATACAGTATATGTCGTCATGTATGAAGCAAGTTTTTTGTACCTGAAATCAGGGGGCTGAGAAAGGGTGGAAGATCTCACATTTTCTTCTGACTCTCAGATAGCCAGTGATGTTGTTTGACAGTAAAACTTAACATTTGATTTGAAATAACTGTTCCAAGGATTATTTTGGTGTGTTGGCTACCACTGTATGTGAATTCCTTGTTCATACTATACATAATCTGCAATAAAGTTTAAATGAGCCTTGCCTCGGTTATGATTGCCCAGCCAGCTGACATAGGTGATATGGTCAAGTTTATCGTAAGATACACATGTCATTAGATCCCAGTTGCATAGATTGATCCTCATGATGTTGATCACTGGATTGTCTGGTCAAGACTCATTTACTTGCAAATCACAGATCAAGTGCAGTGTTAAACAACAAACAAACTAAAGACCCAACATTGTGATGTACTTCTACATTTTCTTCATCTCCTAAAGGGGTGGTGGGGTAGCCTAGTGGTTAAAACGTTGACTCGTCACGCCGAAGACACGGGTTCGAATCCCACATGGGTACAATGAGTGAAGCCCATTTATGGTGTACCCCGCCGTGATATTGCTGGAATATTGCTTAAAGCGGCGTAAAACCAAACTCAGTCAGTCAGTCAGTCATCTCATAAAGACACTACAGGTTCTATGCTTGAATGAACCCAGCAGCCATAATCTAAATGTGAGATAAATGTGACTTCCAAAATATATTTTCCCGTGGCAGTTATGCTGTCATGAATTTCTGAATTTATTGGTATTGATGCTCTTTGACTGCAGTAAAAATCAAGGTGAAGATAAAAAAAACGAAACACACTTGACACTGAGACTTCTGAAATGTATTAAGATTTATGGCTGTTTCTTCCACAACATAACTTTATTTGCCCTGTTTGAACAACCATTTCCGAATTTAAACAGCATGCAACTGTACAAATGGTTGCTGGATTAGATAAATCCAGCCAGTGAAGTCAGTCATGGTTACATTGGAATGTAAAGGACATCAGTGGGACTTTGACCTTTTGTTGCAGAGTGCCTCCCAAGACACCAGCAGCACTGTGGTGGTGCTTGTGAGAAACACGTGTGTTGTCCAGGCAGGGCAGTTGAAGAGTCTTGATAGGATTCTGAAGATAAATGGTATCAACCTTACCAACAAAAATGAGGATGATGTTGATGCAATATTCCAGGACAAAAAGCTGTCTAGGTTTAATCTGGAAGTCCAGAGTGAGGTGTCTTCAAAGTGCAAAGTAGTGACTAAGCATGACTGTAACAGTGAGAGTATGAATAGTGGCTCATATCAGCCAGGTTTTGCAGGATCCACACCAAAGAGGATGTTATCTGTAACAAGTTCTGGACAGTCATCAACTTGTTCGATGGAACGACCACCCTCAAAGAGAATAGTGAAGAGCAACAGTACTGACACAGAAAGGAGTGGAGGACAGCATAGTGATGAACCCTGTTCCCCACCAGTGGTGGCCCACCCGCTTGCCCCAACTCATGATGTGCTGGACTCTGCCCTCATCCCAGATGTACTGGAGTATCCCAGGACTATGTCGTTGCCGGATCACGTGTCATTGGCTAAGATAGGTATGCATTTTTAGCTCTCCTTACTGAAACTTAGATGTGTGTTGCTACATTGTTTACAACTGAGGGATGCAAATAGCCAGTAAATATTCTGAAAGGAAGAAAACTGATCTGAATGGCTTTGTGTTATTCTTTAAAAACAACATGTTTTTGTATTCATTAAATATCCGTTATTATGGCCTGTACTTTTTGTACAAATCACATATTCATTCATGCAAAAAATCAAGTATCAGACAGCGATACGTAATCAAACTAGAAGTCCTTCAGTCAGTGAGACTGTTTGCAACAGCTGCAAGGAAAGTGTAGCGATTGGTGACTTGGAACACACAATAGAGATTATCCCAAGTAACATTTCTTGGTTTAATGTTCACAGGCATAGAAATTGATGATGGAGAGAAGATCCATTCTCTGCCTCTGGCCAATGGCAGTAGGCCGTCAGCGAAGCATGGCTGTGACAATGGAGTGGGGGCAGTGAAGCTTGACATACGTCGCTGCAAAAACAAAAGCTGCAATGTAGCTATGGATTCATGTCTGTGGCATTCGCTGATCTTCAAGGTACCCCAGTTTGTGATATGGGACCCAATGTCAAAGACCATCACTCTCAACAGGGGAAGTAACACATCATTTGGCATAACTAAGAAGGTGAAAATCCAGGTGGGTAGTTGCTCCTCATTCTCTGTAGAGCACCTGTAATTATGATGTGTTAGACTTATGTAACGTACTGTTGATGTAACACAGGCTGACATTGTCTGCATGACTGTCATGTGATTGGCCATCTACTTCAATATCCATGCTCATAACATAGCCACTGAATATGTTGAAAGGACTTCCACTTAGTAGTAGCTGAATGGTCTTCCACCTGATATATCCTGGATTGCCCCCAGTTGATCTGTCATGTCTGATGGGTAGTGCTCAACCCAGCCTTCAAGTTGTGGGTGTTCTGGAAGTTACCTTGTGTGATATACTTAATGTACACTATGTCATGCCACATGTCACAACAATGGTGAACCCCCAGTTTCTTAGCTTAAAAAATGAAACCTTGCTAATCCCATGGGTGTAAATTAAATTAGGAAATGGGAGTGATTTCACTTACTGGATGGTCGTTAAAACATGTTGAAGCATACCGTTACATGACCAGTTTGTGTCAGTCTCGACGTTACGTGCTGTCAGAGGTTTTCATATGTGCAAGACATAGGACTCCTAATGAAGGTGACATATTGGGCTCCCAGTGTGACAGTCTCCACACACATGGCCCAAACACTGTCTCAGTATTGAATGACAGTGTTAATGTTGGTCACATTCCAGTGTAAACTGCAACTTTTCTTTTAATGTTGGATATTCTTCTTAATTTCATGGTGTGGTCTTTTTATATTTTTATGTCCTGGGCTTAAATTCCTGAAAGAGGTTTCCATAATTAAGTCCAGAGCTTAAACAGGTGCAGTAATGATACCTTGAATAGATGGCCCTTTACGTTACACAAAACCAAAACTTTCCCATTGACTTTTATGCTTACTAAGCCATCAGCAGTTGTTACATGTGTGCATAGTCTGTCTGTAAAGCACCAATAAAATCCCCCCAAAATGACAACCTCAGCCAGCTCCTTTTCAAAGTACATAAAGCTAAACAGACCAACCCCATTTCCACACAAAATGTCAATCGCTTGATCATTGTTGATATCTGGTCACATTCATCATAAGCCATCTTGTTAAAAAAGACAGCACTAAATATTAAAAATTATGGTCAGTTTAAGTCACTAGATGGATGTACGTTTGAAAAACAAAAAAAAAATCTTATACAAAATCATCCAAAGACAGCTGTGAGATGATTCAATCTGCACTGAAGGATCCCTCCGAAAACTGCTTGTTAAACTGCAGATTTTGATTTGGTGTAGTGTAACCTTCTGTCTCCTGCACCACAGTCAGCTGTAAAGAGTTCTGTCCCTCGGGCTCATCTGAAGCCCGTGATCATGGGTTCATATCCAGGTTTGCCTTCATAGGGGATAATGTTTCTGGGTTTGTTAGCACTTGTGCTTGTAGGTTTCACCCAGGTGATAAATGCCTAAGGACATGCATCACTTTTGGTCTTTCGCCTACAGTAAGCTGACAAATCATGATATACTTTGAAAACTGTTGAGGGCAAGCATAGAACCTGAATGTGTTTCCCATTCGTGTATTTGTAGCGGGGTAGGGACGGTACTCTTCAATGAAAACCAATGCCTGCTGGGGTGTGAGCTGGGACTTGTGCCACAAGTTGATTGCTCAACGATATATATTTTGTTTTCACCCTGTAATATAATGATGAACAATAATCAAGAAAACAGTCATATCACATCTACATGTGTAATGGTCTAGGAGCTTGACAGTTACTGGTAACATGTATATATCTGTCACAATATACTCAATGTGATAAATATTACTTAAACTGCATCAGTTCCAATAAGACATAAGTAATAAATATATGCAGTTCACAAAAAGGATTATATAGATTATACAGCAGCAAAATTTCACAATAATAATTATGATAGGAAATACATAACTCTCCACATATATTTGTGGCAATAATATACATGAAACAAACACATTAAAAGGATAAAATACCTACCTACTCAGTTGAGTGAGCATTGTCTACATTAACTGATGGTCAAACAGCATGTCCCTTCTATAAGTAATATAACATACCATTAAGTATATTATGCTAAACTATTCTATCATAATAAAACATATCACTCTATGCCATGACAGTTCTGAAATGCATGCTATTGCATAATCATGACAATGGCATAAATAAACCTATATATCTATAAGACAAACCAACAATATATATATAACTTACCAATAAAATAATATGGGACATCAAGTGGCACAAACATGACATGTACTGTAATTGGATGTATATGTCAGGGTAGAGATTGCGATCTGGTAGAATCAGAAATTCTACCAGTAGAGATTGCAATCAGAGTCTCTACTGGTACAATCAGAGATTCTACCAGTACAGTTTCCAATCCAAATGGTAGAAACTCCCTATTTATCTGTGGGCAAACAACAAAGACACTTTCTTTGCTGAACAATAATATGCATTTTATTCAGATATAACACTGTTTCCAGTGAAACTGTGTTTATTTCAGTAAACATGGTAAAGGGGCCATAGAACATAGAACATGATGTATAAGAGATGAGATAAAATAAGATAAAATACCATATAGCATCAATTCAGTTGAGAAATTGTGAACGTTTCTTAAGAGGTAGAAATACACATTTAGCTAGATTATTAAAAAGAGAAGCATTATAAGATGACAACAATTGTACAAATTTATGGAAAGATAGAGAAGTGTAATAACACTTTGGGAGCAGGGCCTGACGAAGATTCTTATAAAAATTACATTCTAAGCAGAAGTGATATTCAGACTCAATAATGGATAATGGATCTTGATTAGCCCATACCAAGCCGAATACCTTAGTTTTTTCTATATTTACCTTTAGCTGCCATTTATCACAATAGTTACTTTACTTATAGAGCCTTTTATAATCCTATAACTGTACTATACACTGCCATGTTGTCAGCAAACAATAACATAAATAACAAAGATGGTGATTATCAAGAACCGTGGTGATTTCAAGCTCTGTCATAATGGATACATGAAAACAAAATGCTATACCAAGAAGACCCTTGTCAGATGGGACCTGAATATAAAAGATTGAAATGTATTTTACATTACTTCTTGTTCATTCACTCTTCTTGTTCATTCATTCTTATATTTGAGTGAAATAACAACCAAAAAGCCGGAAGGTGGGGAAATGACTGGCCAGATATATATTTGGGTGGGGTATTGTCCGGGTGGGGAATGGTAGGTGAGGAATTGACCAGGTGGGGAAATGACTGGCCAGATATATATTTAGGTGGGGTATTGTCCAGATGGTAGGTGAGGAATTGACCAGGTGGGGAAATGACTGGATTCCTGGGAGGACACCATGAACAATTACACCAGTCAGTTACTGGTCAGAGAGGTGAGATCAGAGACATGTTAAGAAGGTGACATGGATCTGACACAACTCTGTTGTGACATATTGTTTTATGTTTATATTCGATATCTTCCATTGAAAAGTGCACACATCAGTGATTATTAATAACAAATAATGTCACATTTATGACGGACCTCAATGTTGCTAATGTCATTCATTGATGGACATAGCTGACATTAGCACTCACAACAAAGTATGAGATTTTCTAAAATAAACATTGATTCTTTTTCAGAAGAAGTCCTCCTTGGGGTACATATAAGCATTAAAATGTCCATTTTAAATCCTACGACAGTTGTAACTATATTTTTAATAAAATATTTACAAAACAAAAAACTCGTTTTGTCTTGTGAGACCACCCCTACAGGGCCCCACCGGACCAACACAGCCAAGAGCAGGTAACTCTCGCCGTCTACCTCGTACCTCACTTTTCATGCTGTCGTTCTGTTGAATAGACCTGCGTGGTGTTCGTTTCGAGTTTGCTCTCCTACCGATACGATGAGTGTAAAAGAGTCTCAATCTGTACGTATGGTTCCTTTCTCTACGACGGGCGTTAGATGGACGCCATATGTGGATATTTTCATTCATCTTTGTTGTAACTTTGCCGTGGGTTCTCTGTTTTCCAGCCATGTGGCAGGCAAAATGGCGGACCGCCACGATCGTGGTTTCCTTGCTATATGTTCTTGGTAGCTTGTAGTAGGGAGTTCATATATTATGTTTGCATATTATATGGTAGGCTTGCCTAAATTCTCTTTCTTTTCAGCTTAATTTGTGGTAAGTCGTTGTTGAGTAATTTTGATAGTGTTCGCTTCAGATCACTCAACTTTACTCTATCACTAGTACACGCAGGGGTGGCTAGCCTTTTTCTGCTTTGCATTGTATGTTTAGTATTTAAATGGCTGTAGCTTGTAGCATTTATATATCGCCTGCAAGCGGATTATTCTTGCTATTACTTGTGTTTATGTGTTTGCTGCTTCACAGTTCCTGCTAGTAACACTGGCGTGGTTCTGTTTGTTGCAGTTTAAGCCCTGTGGGCAAGCAGCTATGCACACTACCGCCACAGGATGGTTATAAAGTGTGCCTCCGTGTTTAGCCGAGGACGCTCCACGACGATCAAGGATGCTCATAATAAACGCCTTTGCGCCAATATTCCTGTTACATTATGTTGTATTATGATACATATTTCATACGTTTACACACAACGTGGCTCATAGGCCGAGGTTGTGTTTTTGTCTGGGTTTCTGCTACCACGCCATTTCTTCCGACACGCAGATTTTATGTTTTTCACTAATCTGCTTCAGGCGGGGATAATATTTGATTAAAGGTTTCTAAGGAAATCCCTTTATCGCTTCCCCGCAAACAATGTTGCTGACTTAAATATGACTCAATTTGCTTCACTATTGCAGCAACATATTCTTCAACATAATGTCAATTCGATGATTGATAGCGATGTCCGGCTCCGTAAGGAGCTCGGCTCGCAAAGTGTTGATCTCGGAAGGTAAGTTCACCAGGTGTCGCCTGTGGTGAAATTCCGCCCGATTGACACGGTGCTGTCTGGGTTCCGCAAGGAGCTCAGCACGCCTGTCGCCGGGGTGGATCGGACGCATCTGGGGGTTGGCTGCGCCCGAGCTCTGGCTC